CTGTTTCCAGAGCCTTGTAGCAGTGCTGTAACGATGATCCAACAATTTTCTCGATTTGTCAAATCGGGCGCTGGCCTTGAAAAGACCCTTCGTCTGATCCAATGCATGTCCCAGGTCGTCGCTGCACTCACTGTGAGCAGTGCCTTGGCCGTGCAATTAACCACGGTCAAGCTACAATTGGCATTGAGTAAGTTGAATTCCCCTGTTCGACGGACAACTATACCCTCCGCTTTGATTGTCCATGTATGCTGATATTACGGTCTATTGTGTAGCGAGGAGGTATTTCCGCTTCTTTGGGTTCATTGATTCCTTCCAGCGTATGTCTGCGTTGCTGGGCAAGGATGGATTCAGTTCTGTGGCTGGGATGCTTGAACTAGCTAAATGCACTTGCTTTGGCCTTTACTTTGTCCTGGAAGACTTGACCACGGTATGTTATTTATTATTATTATTTTCCCCCTCTCTCTTTCGGTAAACAGGACTGATGAAGAGCTAGCTTCATGCAATGGGCGTCTACCCAGTGCCCTGGAATGGCCGTGTTATGGACCAGGCCAATACTTTCTGGTTCTATGCGCTCTCTTTCTCCGTTGCTGGGGCTATTTGGTCGCTGCTTGTCGGTCCCGCGGAGCAGCCTTCCAATAAGAATGGCAAGAGAAAGAACCGGAAGACTGTCTCTGAGAAGGATACCCCGGTCAAACCAACTGCTGCTTCTGCCCGGGTCAAGCAGATCGTGGTGGATGGCTGTGATTTGCTCATCCCGCTGGAACTTCTGGGCTGGATGCCCACGGGGGATGTGGTGGTTGGATCGACCATGGTGTTGAGTACACTCCTGACTGCTCAAGAGATCTGGACTCGAGTGTGATTGGAATGTAGATATAGCATTAGTGTCAGCTGATAGATATAGATATTAGACTTGAACCTCACGATGTATATATGGATCATGTCAGCATAACAGATGATAGCCATGAATTGGACAAAAAAAGGAAATCCCAATCACAAATATAGTAATTCAATTAATTGAGGAGGGACATAGCAAAAGAGAAAAAAATTGGACTCGCGGGGAATCGAACCCCGGACCACTCCCATGCTAAGGGAGTATTATACCACTAAACCACAAGCCCAGTTCGATGAAAGAGATTGCTTTTTAATGACTGAAGAGCAGAAACAAGAGCTAGACCAGTTATGTTGTGGAATTTATGTGTGGAATTAATAAAGGGGCCAGTAAATGTTGTGGCTTATTTGGAGGCTGTTCGGGGATATTGTTTTCGGGCTATAGTTACGAGTGAGGCTGAGCAAGTCCAGATATAGTCAGTATGAAAAAGCACATCCAACTTTTGTATATAGTTAGCGAATGAGACGAAGGAGGTAGAGTCCCTCGACGTCATGGAAATACGAACAAGAAATGGAATAGAGTTCCTTGCCCAAATAGGCAAGTCTCGTATTGGAGAACAATATATATATATATATATACCAACAAACATACATAGACTGGTCATTCAGATTGTCATCCAGAGCCAAACCACCTTCATGAATCATGACTACTACAACCACTCTCGATCTCAAGGCAAAGGAAATGGAGGTTCACTCCTCAGCCTTGTCTACAAGATCCAGCAGTACCCTAAGCACACTCATCGAGAGTCCATCCTCTTTCTGCCCCTCACGCGTTTTAACCATTAATGCGCAAGGGATTCACGCTCTTCGCCTCCCACTGCCATCTCGTCAAACTGAGATTGTTATCTACAATCCAGACGGCACCGAGGCCTACATCTCCACGCGTGATAAGCTTTGCTCAGGTAATGCGACTCTGTGCCACCCAAAGCGCGGAAGTCTTATCCGAACCGAGTACTTCTTCGGTCCGAACCGTGATCCCGTTGTGTACCTGCTTCAACCTTCCAGTGACATCCCCGAGGAAGTGATTGTTGCTGGGAAATGGACATCCCGCACAATGCGCATCGGTATGCCTGGAGGTAAACAGTTTGAATGGGAATATGCCAAGGAAAAAAGGACGGATGGGCAGAAGAAAGTCAATTTGATTATTTTTCGTGCAGTGGAGGAAGAGAAGGGCAAGCGTAAAGAGACTTCGGGTCACCGGATTGCACAGTTAGTTCGCGGAGAGGATTCTCGGACACCCGGCACGTCGCGATCTTCTGCGGGTAATGGGGGTGAATTGCAGATTGATGAAGCTGTGTTACAGTCCCTGGAGCTAGACGAGGCGGTTATTGTTGCGACGTGTTTGATGATGTTGAAGAAGGAAATTGACCGACGTAGGATGATTCAATTGGCAATCATTGGGGGAGGTGGTAGTTGAGATTTATGAACAGTATAACGAGGGTCTGGTGTATTTTAGTTTTTAGTTATCTCAACGCTAGTATATGTTGTATATTTTCTATCGAATATTTTGGATATTTTGGATATCTTTTGGGTGCCAGCCCCTCAATTGGCCTTGGTCTCATTCAACAATTCGGAGATATGGCCATTAAGCCAATACCCATCCAACTTTTCGGTGGGCATGGTCTTGGCCCCGGAGATCCAACCTCTGCAGATCCCGTCCCCTGCCCCGCAGGTACATTGGAATGCCTGGTCCATCTCCCACTCGGTGCTGGGGTAGAAGAAGGTGAGCGCATCACCTGCCTTCAAAGGATGGTCATCCACGACCCGCACCTCCATGCGGCCCATGTCGAAGACCAATGATGGTGCGCATGAGTGGTTGCAGTAGACTAGGTCGGAGTTGAGTTCGATGTGGGTGTCGCGGCCGGTTTGCACGCTCGTGTAGGCTTTCTTTCCAGGAGTTGCCGTAGTGATCTTGGCGAAGACGGCACCCGCGGGGAGGTCTACCAGAGAATATGCCCCGCTTGCAAATGCTTTCGTACTGCGTTCAACACGCAGACATTCGGGATGGGTCGGAGGAGGGAAGTTGGCAAGGGTGGTCACAGGAATGGGATCGGCGGATGGGGCCATACTGACGGAGGTATGGAGTGAGGAAGGGGAGAGAGTATGAGAGAGTATGAGAGAGTATATGAGGATATGAGGATATGTATGAGTAGGAGTATAAGAGAATAAGAGAATAGGAGATCTTTGGGGAATTACTTAGGGTTCTATTTAAATAAAGATGTAGAGAGATGTTTACGCGGAGTAGAGATGTAGAGATATCTGGAACATCCCACATTGTTCCTTTCAACCGAGGTCTTTCCGCTCGGAAGACCGAGGCACAGGCCTAAAAACACAATTGTCTCCAAAAAAAAGAGTGTCAATCTGGAGATATTTTAGATATTTTAGATATTTTAGATATTTTGGACATTTTAGACCATTTAGACTCGTGAACGTGAACTTTTCGGATAATCGTACGCTTTGGTCATTCGGTGAGCCTCCACATGCAGAACAAAAGTTACAAGGACCACACATTCTCGGCGTAAAGGTTCAGGGGTTTAGGTGAAATGTATGTAGTTATATAGTCTATGTACGTCTATGTACGTCTATATCAGTCAACTATGTATTTAAGAAGTTGAAACTATCAGCCCACATAATTCTTATTCGGAAATCCCGACTCTTTATCGAAAATGTTCCTGATCTGTATGCTGCATACATTTTTTTTTTTTTTTTTTTTTCTCCTTTTCTTTCTTTTCTATGTTGTACATGGAACCTGTTTTGTTTATATTTATACATATGTCTATCGTCTATTGTCCATCAGTTCATCTTACGTAGTAGCTCCTGTCCATTCAACCAGCGCTCCAAATTCTCGGCGGTTTCGCCATACCATCCCCGCAATAGCTCCTCCTCTCCATATCCCATGTGGGGCGAAAGCAGAACTTCACTGCGTCCATCTTGTCCCCAAGGAGTAGTACGCCATGGGCTCTCAAGAGGTAATGGTTCTGGGTCAAAGACATCTAACGCGGCACCACGAATGCGGCCTGCATTCAAAGCCTCGAGGAGGGCCTGCTCCTCAATCAAGGGCCCACGTGAAGTATTGATGAGAAATGCAGATGATCGCATATTTGCTATTTCAGTCGCACCAACGATTCCACGGCTTCGATCCGATAACACACTGTGTACACTGACGATATCGGCATGTGCGAAGAATTCCTCTTTGGACGCAGCCACGGCAAATGTCCCCACTGGCAGACCCTGAGCATGCGCTTGCTCGTCGGCCTTTTCCTGTGTCAAGTTGGTTGACCATGCGAGAATCTTCATCCCAAAAGCCAGAGCGCCAATATTTCCTACTTGTGACCCGAGTTTTCCCAAGCCAAGCAGCCCCAGTGTCTTCCCCGACAAGTTCATCCCAAGGGAACCTTGCCATGCGCCGCGTTTGACAGCTGCATCGTCGCGTGCTATGTTTCGAGCGAGCCCCAAGATCAAAGCCCATGTATGCTGAACCGTCGAATTCACACCGGGTGGGCGGCCCTCGGTGCCTGCGACAGCCACATTGGAACGTTTAAATGCCTCGAGATCCAGGGCTAGGTTGCGGGTACCCGTGGTCAAAAGAAGTTTCAAATTTGGGAGCGCTGCAATTGTTTTGGCTGTAAAAGGAGTTCGCTCGCGCATCGCCAAGATAATATCGAAGGGAAGAAGTCGTTGGACAAGGGCATCGTGTTGTGTAGGATCGCGAGGGTCGAGGGTTTCGGGGAAACTGGAAATGTCAACTCGTGACTCGAGGTGATTGAAATAGGCAGGTGCAATGCCCTGGTAATCGTCAAGAATTGCAAATTTGAGCCGAGCCATTTTCAAAAATGAATACCTAGATATATATATGTACACACGTTAGGTATGAAAGAGAGAGAGAGGGAGAGAGAGAGTCGAAGGGAAACAGCGGGGAAGTGAGAAATTCCCGGGGCAATGACGTTCCCGGCTGTTCATTTATCCACTATGTAGTATATAGCCCTGGAGTTATGTCTATAAAGAGATATAAATAATGCACTGAAGTAGTATGTTCGTACTTCAGGCCTATTCATCCATCTCTCCAAAGTACATGCAGCTTTAATATTTATAACAAACCTTCAAACTCCTTATTATGAAACTGGATCCCTCATCATCAGGAAAAAGGACTCTTGCCCAACACTACCAAATGGGGTATAATCCATAACCACCTCCTCAACGATCTTCCATCCGTGTTTGAGGTAGATGGGCACACCTTCGGGTGTACCCTCGAGGAAGATGCGTGATTGGGAGGCATCTGCCTTGTCTGTGCCCCATTTCAGAATAGCAGAGCCAAAACCTCGCCCTTGATATTCCGGTACGGTTGCTAGCAGATCGAGGACTGATGATCCATTTCAGCAAAATCCCCTTGTCGGGAATGTCCACGGGTGAGGGGGCCACTTACTAATGTCGTTCTCTGTGGTGTATCGCTTGCGACCATCTTCTAGGAGTTTTTTGAAGGCATTGAAAACTTCCTCATTCATTGGTCTGGGTGCATGCGGAATGGGGTCCTTGGCCAACAAGGCTGCCTTTTCACTTAGAGTAACCAGACTCGGACCAAATGATATTGGAAACTGCCAGCGGCTATAGGTCGCCAGTTCCCCACTGACTGGATCATGGATCTTGAGAACATGCATATTGGGGTTGGCAAGATGTTTCATGCCCACAACTATTTTGTATTCCTGCATTCTGGTCAGGCTTGCCTCGGGGAAAAGTTCATCGAGGAGGCGGCGGCCTTGGAAGCTTTGGACGTTGACTTTGGCAAGTCCTGGTCCATCGGCCTCGGTGGCATATTTGATGATATTCATTCTTTTCATGGATAAAAAGCACAGATGGGAATTGAAGGATACAGAGGATATCCAGAGCCTTATGGCGGAATAATATATTATCATGTAGTACCAAGGTAGCTGGGCTTTCCTATCTTAGCCGCTTTTATGACTCATGAGAGCGCTCAGCCCCGGAAAGTCACTGAGCTGCTCAGACCAGTCACATGATTGACTAATCTATTAAACACCCAAGTCTATACCCGTGGACTCAGATCATACCCGAAGAAGCAATTGTATACATTAGTATGCAGAGCCTAAAATCTTTGCGGGACATAGCACGTTCCGCTTTTTCAAGGATCTGCCTTTCCCCCTCTTTCGTTCATCTCCCCTTCGGACAAATATCAGCCTCACACCCCTGCGCTATTTATCTTTATGACAAGCTCTGTCATTTCCCCCACGAACCTACCAATCCACACGGGTAAGAAACAACCCCCTGAATACGACATCGATCAATGCATCGCGGCAATAAAGGGGGAAAAAGTCCCGTCCGATATGACCTCTCTTTGGCATCGTAGAGCAGTCATTCGCGGGATCCGTGACTCACTCCAATTTGCAACAAGCCCAGCAATCATTGAGCTATGCTCCGGCGACGATAGCCAGGCTCATCAGTTTTCTCGCGCCCGCAATGCTCGCCTGATAATGAGTAGCATCATCCCCGATATGCAAGATCCTGCCACTGAACCATACTGCATTTGGTATCCAGAACCTGCATCGGAAGAAACCTACCGCGAGCTTGCCCGTCGATATCCATCGATGCGCTATCAAGTCGGCCGCGCATGTGCTGCTGCTTGGTATACGGATCTTTACAAAGAATTGGATCTTCTGCCAGACGCATCTATTGCCGAAGAAGCCCGCAATGCTGCCAGAGACGCCGGCATCTACAAAATCATCATGTCGGCCCCTCAAAGATGGGCTGTTATGGATGATTTCACTCGATCGGTTAATCTTGAAAATCCACAGGCACCCGCGTTTCTAAACGGCAATATGAAGCCCTGACGGGCTTTGGCCCGGCGTGTTCTTCCTCCCAAGAACTTGCCAGATACAACTGCAGATGATATTGATATCGAGGAAGATGGATATATTAGGTTGAAAGAAAAAATCAGCAAAGCAGATCGCGATGCGATACTCGGCCCAGGAGACTCTGAGCATTTGTGGATGCCTCTTCCGTCTGATCTCCCAGTTCTTGACAAATGCCTTCCAACGCAAATGGCTGCATGGGAGGGTAATGTGGATAGATACGCTCGATTGATGCACCCACGGAGACTCAGAACGGAAACTGAATACAATTGTATTCTTCGTGGGATTTATCACCACACAAGTTTTGCCCGATGGTGGGCCTATCAGCTAGAAACCAACTCTCGCCGAAGGCGAGTCATTCTTCCAGGTAAATTGCTTACCGAAGGCAATGAGCGCGAGTGTCGCGAGATTCGTACTGCGATAAATGCTCGCAAAATCATGAACAATGATATCTCTGACCTTGATGATGACTCCGACTGCCTCCCTTGGCTTATCTGGTGGCCGGTAAGGCCTCATGAGAATACTTTACGTGAGCTGGCTAGTAAGTGTCCGTCCATGAGACACCAAATTGCGATTACCGCCATACTTTGTGACTACAAATCGCTTTTCAGGTCGTTAAAGCCCCCTCCCCGTGAGTCCTTCTTCGAGACTGCTAAACAGAGCAGAAACCCGTTATACCTCAAATATCTAGAGGAATTTGTTAGGGAGCGTTCTATTGGAAGCAGAGAAATCTCAGAGTTCGGCCCTTACGATACCACTGTGGAAGCAAGTTTACAGCCTGATTTGGAGCCTAGAGATTCCTTTGCTCATTCTTCTATCCAATTTTCTGATATGATTATTCCTTGGGGCCAGCATCCCAGAGACGAATGGGGCTCTCCTGGTATCTATGGCGGTCAGCCGGCTGACCCGGGGGTTGTGGAGAGATATATGTGGCTGTCATTGGAAACTGCGCAGAAGATTGAAGACGAATCTAGCGGAATCTATAACGATAGCGCGGATACTGGCTACTTGTATATTGAAGATGATGATCCGGAGAACGAACTTTGGCTGAAGCTCTCACGTCCGCTAAAGCATATGACGTCCTTCGAAATGGAAGACTGGGAGGATGAAAGCTAGTTATATTGCATGAATTGATTCTTTCAAACCTTTCCACAAGGGCTAAGCACTAATACGGAAAGAGAGCACCAAGAAGTGGCAGGGGAAATCAAGTACGTAGGAATGACTCTGAATGAGTCAAGAGACACTAATCTTCTCCCACATGTACTATAGTTACATAGTTATGTAGTTATATACTATGTACATAACTACCTAGGTATCAGTTCTCTTCGATTTTAATGAAATTGGAAATAATTATTGTTTGGCATAGTGTACATACTACTTCTTACTATAACATCATTTCTATAAAACATTTCGCTTTCTAACCTCCAACTTTGCATCTGGATCACTCAGCATTTCAAATCCCACTTCCATAATCTTGGGTGTCGTCCCTTCAGGAATCCTGACATCGTAAGTCAAAAGAATCTTGGCCAGAGCAATCTTGACTTCATTGCTAGCGAAGAACCTCCCAGGGCAAATTGGCTTGCCAATCCCAAATGCGATATGTTCCGGACTTGTGGATGCGAGTGCTGCCGCAGTATTGCCGGATTTGCGAAGACGAAGAAAACGGTAGGCATCATAAGAGAATGGATCGGGGTAAATCGCTGGATCCCACATCATGGATGAATCAACGGCAACATTTGTTCCGCAAGGGATAGCCAAGCCATTGGGAAGGATAACATCTCGCAGGGCTTTACGCTCAAGATTTACTGTGAGAGCGTGTGTTTAGTACCGTGACTTGAGAGTAGTGATGAGCTGGCAGAAGTAGTAGACACATACCTAAAGATCCCGGTTTGAGCCGTTGTGTTTCCTTTACTGCACTGTCCAACAGCTGCATCTTGAAAACACCCGCAGTTGTCCATCCGTTCTCCTCGACAGCTTTCTGTGCTTCATCCCGTAGAGCCGGAATCAGATCCGGATGCATACAGATATCCAGTAGGGCCTGCTTGAGTAGTTCAGAAGTTGTGTGCATTGCGCTTATCGCGAACGCAATTTGTGCTGCAGCGGCGTCATAGGGGCGACCAGCAGCGATTTCTTCAAGCCACTGTATGGTATCCTCGAAATTTTCTCTCTTATCAGGTTGGGTAGAGTGAGATTGCCCATACCCCCTGCGGCCGAAGATTGGCTGTAGTATCAGACGAGCAAGGCGAAGTTGCCGACGGCAGTTTCTGAGTTCTGGCAAGAACCAATGAACCAATGGACGAAGAAAGGCTGGCCAAGCGCGGAGGGATCGAACCCCCATAAACGTGTTCATTGTCGAAGTTAGAATTAACTCTTGCCATTTACGATCACGAGCTAATTCAGGACCGACAAAGATAGATGCTGACATTCGCCCGATGAAGCGGACTGCATGTTGAGACCAATCAACGGTGTGCCAATCTGAAGAATAAGTCAATCGAGCACTCTGGCAATATTTAGAGCAAACTTACCGTCGTGGTCCATCCAAATCTCTTCTAGAGCCTCCGTAATATGTTCATGAAACAGCGCACACTCTGTGATGGAAGACCATATTAGTGAGACTCCAATATAAACCATGAGTCCTGAATCTGTCACGCACGACCGCTCTGATTGTTCAATTTCGTTTTGGTGACATTGATCAGAATCTTCCTAGGATCAGTGACCACTCTCTGTCCTTCCATCCCGGGGTATGCCGCAAAATATTGCTGTATAAAAATCGTGTGTCAGTTCCCAAGTCTCCTTAGCAGAAGGAGCTGCAACATACATCGTGGACAAGCGCCTGATGGTCTAAATCCAGACAATTTTTTAGCCACTTGGTATAAGACGCTGGGAGGATTACCCGCGAGCCAAGAGTCGTTATAATGCGAAATGGGCCATTGAACTGAAGCTTCTACATTAGACGCAGTGTTTTGTCATGGGAGATACCCAACTTACCTTCTCAATTCCTTCTTTGATCAACCCCCTGGCATCTGACGTGAATCTCGACTGGGCCCTTTTTAAAGTTATATCACCGGAGTACGAGTTGACAATCGGTATTGTCGGTTCTTGCCTCCAACGCCATGCAAGGACAGCAAGGAAGCCCAAGAGGGCTGTCGGTAGAAGATATAAGATAGAGAGATCTTTCATAAGAGAGAAATCCAAGTAAGAAATGAGATAAGTCATTATTGCTCGATTTTTCCCTCCATGAGTAGTGGTTGGTTTATATAACTACACGACGAATGTAGATCCTAGTCACGTGTATACATACCTGTCACGATGAATAAGAATGAGTCATTACAACATTGTGGGTACTTAAAAACAATATCAGGTGTATACAAATTGGGTACAAAATTGCATGGCAATGGATGGTCTGATGCCGATTTGATAGCGACAAGGGGTTGTAGGGCACATGAACTTACCGTCAATTACTGTAGGAGGGTCTGTCTGGTATATAAGGACATTCAATTCCAGTGCCATCAAAACGGGATCTGCACAAGTATCTACATAAACCGAATTATAATCCATTAGATACATATCCATCTTGCGGAGAAATGTCAGACCAATTGCTTTAAGCAGCGGTCTTGGCAAATGTCTTCAGAGAGGCTTCACTGCCATTCCAAATGTCCGAATCACCTCCGAAGCTATACGAATCCGAGTTCTGCCAGAAGCTCTGGAAATCCCAGCCACCGGGGATAGTGCCGACCGAAGTGCTGTATCGAGCCAGAGCTAACGGGTAGTCCTGACTGAATGCCGTGCTGCCACCAGTGCAAGTGTTCCACCAGTCCGCGGTTGTGTAGATCATAGGGTACCGGCCAGCAGTCTTCTTGTAGGTCTCGCCAAAGTCCTTGATCCAGGCGACCATGGCTGATTGGCTGAGCCCATAGCAGGTTGCACCGGACGGGTTGTATTCAATGTCCAGCATACCGGGCAGGGTCAGGCCATCATCAGACCAACCGCCACCGTGGGCGAGGAAGTAAGTGGCTTGTGTAGCACCGCTGCTGCTGCCGGGTTGGGCAAAGTGATAACCGCCACGGATCAGACCGGCGCTGCTGGCACCCGTATATTGGCTCGAGAAAGAGCTGGAGATGAAGCTGGTACCCTCAGTCGCCTGATATGGTTAGTATTATGGCGGAGAAGGGATTCGTAGTAACTTCGGGAAAGCCAAAGCTCTCACCTTGATCATAACGAAGCGGGCACCAGCTGCATAAGCACCGGCAAAATCCACTTTGGGTTGATAGCCGGAGATGTCGAAGCCCTGAACACTGGCGCTGGCAGCAGTGGCGAACAGGAGGGGGAGGGCATTAATCTTCATGGCGAGAGTGAGAGTAAGATTGGAAGAGTAAGTGAAGATTGTATTCAATCTGAGTCAGTGACCAAGAGTTTGGGAGGGGAACTGAGGGCCTATTTATGTCTTTGCCAGGCAATGAAGCCCCATGTAATTGCAACCTCGGGGACCATACAATACGAGGATATCATGCAGTATAAGGTTGGAGAATGGAAACATGAGGGTCCATTTCTCTCATCCTACTTCAGGCATGTATCATGTAGATCGATTCTTTGTAGATCAGTTCCTGTATGTCTTTTTAATCTTTCCACGTTGCACTTTGGTTGGTATATACTACTATATATAGCATCCGGGGGATACCGCGTTTTAGGGGGATCTGGTAAGATGAATAGTCTCTACATACATCTTGTAAGGTATCAGATTGATGAGATGGGTAATTCAATAATTCAACTTCAATATGATCATAGATCTCATAGTATATTGTATATCGTAGATGTATTCAACTGTTGAGGAAATGTGAAGTAACCCTAAAACCCCCAAGATAAGCCCGATGAAACAGGAAAATCAAGATATAATCACTGATGTGTATGTCTCAATACGGAGATAATATAGAACAATCGAATTAATATAGAAAAAAACAAAAAAAAAACAATAACAAAAACATCCCAAGTAATCTCGCAGAATGATAACTCTTTCGGCCATCCATCGGCGCTTCGCCTATGTAAGCGAAACTTGAAAGTACCGGGGGCTAAGCTCTTCTCCCCGCTTTTCATATCTCTTCCCCTTCTTCAAACAATACAAAGTACAGTACGATGAACGTGTACTTACTTCAATGACAATTGGTGGATGTGGGAAATGGATAGCTTAAGTGATCCCCGACCATGAGCACATCTGGAAATAAGGATTTCCGCGATCAGCTGGGAAAGTTCCGCTTGGATTCGATTAATACTTATACCCCAACTTGGCCTCAACCACCTCCTGTTCATGAGTCTATAGATGTCTCCAGTCATGCTCGCAGCAAACGAGTATCGACTGCCTGTGATTTTTGTCGCAAAAGGAAGAAGAAATGCGACTTTCGCTACCCCAATTGTTCCGCCTGCACCCGCGCCGGAGTCCGATGCACCATACCCCCACCCGGTCCTCAAGTCGCTAGCGCCCCCGTTCCCCGAGATCAACTGGAGAATTTACAGAAACGAGTACAATGGCTGGAGGAGGTCGTCCGTCGCAAGTCGGGCCTCTCTGTGGCGGAATTACCAACGGGAACACCAGTCGATGGCGAGGGAGATCCGGATTGGTGGTATCAGGTGCCCGCTATGATTGCGACCGGGGGTAATCATCCTACCTCAATGCCGAGCCCTGCCGGCAGTGGTGGTTCTTCTGTGACTGCAGGACCCTCGGAGGCATCGACAGGAGTAGGCACCGAACTGCCCAACATCGGCGAGATCTTTCGCGATCAGCTGGAGCATCGCCGACCGTCGGTCGCACGGCCTTCCTCCGCGCCGCGAGTCATGCGCTTGTCGTCGCTGGAGGAAGCGGAAAGGCTATCTGGACAATATTTCGACAGCATGGGATACCAATACCCTTTCTTGTCTCGTCCGGAGTTCATAACCAATCTGCGCCATATCTATACTGGTGGTGTTCCGTCGCCGGAAGCGCATCATACTTATCATATCGTCATTGCCATTTCGCTTCTGATTGGGTCTGCGGACCCGAGCCAGGCAGCTGAATTTTACCATGCCAGCCAGGAGACCCTCCCGCTGGCATTGCAAAATGAAGACTTGCCGGCTGTGCGGGCACT